GGGGGGGGGGGGGGGGGGGGGGGGGGGGGGGGGGGGGGGGGGGGGCGGAGTAGGCCTGGGAGAAACAGGCGTGCAATATGGTAACATGGTACAGGCACGTGGTGTTTTGACGTCAGAGGAAGCGGCAACAATCCGTTGATCCGTGAACTCGGGATAGAGACGAATGCAGCTTGGTGTAGGCTTCTGCTGCGGGATTATTTTTTTTTGTCATTTGGCAAAGAAGGGGATATGTGTAGTCTCGAGGGGGCTGGAGCTTAAATCACATCCGATTGTGAGCTCTAATGTACTGTAGCCTGCCAAATGAATGCACTGCTGTGGTTTCACCTGCCTTCATCCGCCCGTCCAAGAACGAGAGCTGTCGCGTACTACATATTGTACAATTTCCCGATATATATTTTCCCGCTGTAGTGACAGACAAGAATCGCCGTGTTATGTAGTTATCGGGATTCGCGTTCGGGGGAAGCTCCCCGAACACAAATTTCGTACGTGAAGTAGGCTGCCAGGTATATGTTGTGTCGAGGGATGTGTCAACGCGACAACCGCCCGATTCGGGACCGCGATATTTCGGGACCACCATCACATCCTTGGTGACCCCTCCGCATGAAGCGCGCCGGAGACTCTGCCCGCCGACGTGTCTAAGAAAGCCTATGTTTCTCGCTCGCATGATCACAGTTCCTCCGCAACGCCGGCAAGAGCCCGTCGAACTCGCAAGGCAGCGGTGGCAAGGGCAAGGTCAGAGGGGGCGGGAAGGGGCGGGGTCGGGGAGGGCAGGGTGGAGGTGCTGGCGGAGAACCGGTTGGTGCGATGAGGCTGCCGGATGGACGGGTGAACCAGAACATCACCTGCGAGCACGGGAACCTTGTCGGCGGGTGCGTTAACTTTTCGCTTCTATTTTCGCTGCAGATCTGCAACGCCCACAGCAGTGCGGCATTTTGTTTTGTTTGCACTCCGGCGGCGGTCATACCCGTTGTTGTTTGGAATTCTGTTGGGTCTCGTTTGATCGTTTCCGCGTCGTAGAGGGGTGGGTGCGGAAGCAGCAAGCCAGTTAGCAGGTAGCCTAGTGAAGTCGCGTGGTGGGAAGGTGAACGTTAGCTGCGACTGTTGCACCCCCGGCTGGTGAGGAGATGCCTCTTTTTTTTTTTCTGAAATCACTTCTGTTGTTAGGTGTCATGGCTGACATGACAGCAGTGTCACATCTCCCCTCCGTTTTGAATCTTTTGATGGGTTGTTTGTATTTTTCTCGCGTTCGTTCGGGATGGCAGAAAATCCGGCAGGCGCAAGTACCGCTGGATCTCCCCACGGGGGTGGGAGATGGTGAAGAGCCTCTTCCCGTTGGCGCAGGAGGTCGAGTATCCGGCCGGGACTCAGCCGTGCAGCCAGTGCGAAGAGCAGGTATGACACCCGTAACACCCGTACCGTACTGAACCATAACGTTACGTTACGTTACGTTACGTAACGTTACGTAACGTACCGCACCGCACCGCACCGCACCGCACCGCACCGCACCGCACCGCGCCGTACCATACCATACCATACCGTACCGTACCGTACCGTACCGTAGTTCCAACGGACCCTTCAGGTGGTCGGTGCGACTACCAAAGAGCAGGTGAGTTTGTCTCTCAAACGAAGCCCGTTCAACGGAGATTGATTTTCATTTACCTTTGTATTCCTACCAGTTGGTGTTAGTAGTCACGTCATCGTCTTCCGCCCACGCTGTCTGTTGTTGAGGGCGCTAAGCTCCTCGGCCGAGCTAACACGAGTAACCCTTGACCCCCACTCCGGCCACCTGACATGCGTGTTTTCGCGCGGACACCCTAGGATAAGGATGAGATGAAGCTCAAGCGGGGCCTGAGGCAGGCCAAGAGCGCGGAGCTCGTGACCGGTCCGTCTCTCAAAGGCCTCTGGAAGCGAAGCGATGGTCTGCCCCCGAGATTGCTCGCACACAGCCGGGGAGGTGCTTCGAGCAGCAGCAATAGCAGGCAAGCGAACCGCAAAGCTCGCGGCAGGCCCGGAGGAGGTGGAACGCTACCTCGGTTCCTGTTGGTGTTTTGTGTCAGGTGGTGTGCAGCACTGTCCTGTGGTTGGTGGGGCCGGTCTTTGCGTGTGGCTTGCTTTGCAAGGGGAACAGCGGGGCGACGGTAGTAGGAAGGAGTGTCTTGTATCCGGCCCCGCACGCTAACGGCTGGAAGCATACTGGCTGTGAACCCCGGACGAAAAAATTTGTGTGTGTGTGTGTGTTTTTATTACTAGCATCGACCGCGCTAACCGGCTGACCAATGAAAAGACGTCAGTGTCAGCGGGTAAAAATCAAGGTCCCTGGAAGGGGGCCAAATTTGAAAAATGCGCAATGCGCTTGATGCGAATGCCAATACGACGCTCTCTACATATTCTTTCACGTAGACACATATCTCAGCTACACACATTCCCTCACCCGAACCTAGAAAGCCACTGATACAACGAGCGGAGGACAACAAAAGGGTTAATTCAAGCCCAGCCGAAGCCAGGAATATCGTGGTATGCTGCATCTCCCAGTTTGATAATGGTATACTCCGAAGATCCAACAGTCATCGTGTCAGCAGCTAGATGACTCAAACAAAATAGCAACACATACACTGCCATAGCTCCGCACACGTCCTCGCCCGAACCTAGGGAGCCACTAGGAAGCCACCAGGAAGTCACTAGGGAGCCAAGTCCTGCTCGCAGGTTATCTTGGCTTCCCTTCAGGTGAACACGTCCAGGAATCCAGTATCCGCAGCCGCAGCAGTAGTGCTGTGTAGCAGTAAATGCAGATTGAACCCACGCGTTGTTCAAATAAAAAACTGTGATGCCGTGAGAGGAGATACCACCGCTTTCGAAGGGTCGAAGGCACCGTCAGCCAGATGCAGGCTGTGTGATAGATGGTGCTATCTATGTGTTCTTAGCATGCCCGCCCGTGAAGGTCGTGACGAGGCCGCTTGCCTGTAGCTTGTGTGTGTGTGTGTGCGGTGGCGGACGCAAAATGCTCTTCTCCCGACCCCGACATATGTTATGGGGCATCGGGCGAGCTATGTTACCCCCGCGCCGTTGTGCTGCGAGGACTGGAATAATGCACTGCTGTAACCAAGCTGTTGTGCTATTTTCACGCTTAACAATTACACAAAACGCGTATGTAAAGCAGCTTCGGGGGGGGG